ACTCAGGGCTGATTTCCTTCAGAATGGAGAGGATTGATCTTCTTGCAGTCCATGGGACTCTCCAGAGTCTCCTCCAGCACCAGAATTCAAAAGCATCCATTCTTTGGCGATCAGCCTTCTTTATGGTCCAGCTCTCACTTCCATACATCACTACTGGGAAAACCATAGCTTTAACTATACAGGCCTTTGTTGGCAAAGTGATGTCTCTGCTTTTTAAGATGAACTTGTTTGGGCAAGTAGCAGGTTTTAAAATAAATAAAAATAAGACCAAGTTATTGGTAAAAAAAATAATTAAAAGAAGTAGATAAAAGGGAAGTGGACCTGTGTGATGCCTCTGGGCTCCCCAAGTGGAACCCCAGGGTTCTCTGAGCATGTTAAGAGTTGGCTGCAAGTTATGAATGCTCGGGGGACCCCAGGATTTGCTCGGTCCCTGATAGAACCCCCACAGACTTTGGAAACAAGGCTTAGGAAACGCCTTATTCTTATTCTGCAAAACTTGCATCATTCCCCAGATTTGAGCAGCGTACTCATCTAGTCAAGCAGAGTCGGTGGCATGGCTGCAGCTTCCAGGCTGAGATTCTTCTCCTTTGAGGATAAATGCCCACCGTCCATTGCACATCTGAGTCTGAAGACATCACTGTCCTGGTTACATTTGAACATTGTTGTTGTTGTGGCTACATTTGAACATAACTGTTGCTGCTGCTGCTGCTGCTGCTGCTAATGTCTTTAATGTACTGTACTTTTCAGTGTATAAGACGAGATTCTTTTACGTTAAAATGGGGGGGGGTCATCTTATACACGGGTAGTGTAAAAGGGGGGGCGGTGAATTGTTTCCTGCTGCGAGCAGTAGATTATCAGTGTCGTTAGTGTGATTGATTGGCGGCTGTGGCAATGGCTGCTGCTGATTGGTGGCTGCTACGGCAATTGGGTGGGTGATTGGCGGCTGCTGGCAGCAAGCGGTAATACGATTGGAGGCTTATGTGTCTCGTGGAAGGCGGTGGACGACTCTTCACTGGACGTTTTTAAGCAGAGGTTGGAAGGCCTCAGGGCCGTCTTTCCCCGAGGGTGCAAGGGGTCCTGTGCACCCAGGCGCTGAATTCTGGGGGGCACCAAAATGTTTAACTACTGCATACCAGTCCCTCTCGGTCGGTGGCGGTGAAAAGCAATGGAGAGGAAGTCCCCGCCCCCCTCCTCCGTCACTCTGTTACTCCGTAGCGTCAAACAAAAGCAGTTTTTCCCGCTGCATCGTTGTCACAGGTGAGCGATTCTCCCCCCCCCCAAAAAAAAGCTCAATTGAGTCCCAGCCCCCTGGCACTGGGTGGATCTTTGCACCCTGGTGGCACGTATGCTAAAGAGGGCCCTGGATGGCCTTCTGCCACAAAAGCTTTAGTTGAAATTCCTGCATTTCAGGGGGTTGGACTAGATGACCCTCAGGTCCCTTCCAGTTCTACAGTTCTTTGATTCTATGATTGGTGTGACTTTGTGGGCTGCAGGGCATTCAAGGCATGACTCTGGGCTCAGGCGTCGGACGAAAGGTTGCACATGGTTGGCAGAGCCTTTGGAGAAAGTGTGTTCTCCTTCATGAAGAGCACGTGTTGCAGTGGAGTCTTACAACACATCCCACAGTTGCTGGGCGGGTAAAGGTAGTTGGCCACCATTGCGATTGGGCTCCTCTTGTCATTGGGGAGAATTTGATGTTGCCATTTTTTGATTGACAGCCAAGAAGTTTTATATTCCCTGCGCACAGTGTTGAGCTTCCTCTTTTTGCTGCGTGCATCGGATCACCCGTCCACCCTCCCTATATTTCGGGTTGTTCACATTGACCTTGCTATGCCTGTCATGGGGTTGCCTGCTTTTGGAGCCTGGTAGGAATTTTGTCCATTTGGCAGATTGGCTATTGCCATTTGGTTTTTGCCTACTGCGTAGCAAATCCTCACAACTTGTAAGGTTGCGGTTAGGCATTGATTTTATGAAATGGTTGGTGGAGGGGCATGGATTGGCTGTGCCTGCCCCTCCGATGCTGCTGCTGCTGCAAGGGAATTCCATTAAAAGAATCCAGGGGCTCGCCATGTTTTGTCCGAACCCCTGTCAAGGGGCTAGGGCCACGCAAGAGCCCCTGGGAGCATTTGGGGAGAGGTGAGGGCATGGTTCTCAGCTCCGTCTCTCTCCCCAAAATGTTTTCCCTTTCTGACTTTCGCGGGCGTGCGAATGTCAGTCCGTCCCCGGCTGGGGACAGATAGTCGCAACCAATGCCTAAGCAACCACTGACATTTTTTGTATTTGAATCGAGTTGTGGCCAAAATTATGCCAAAAACCTTAAACAAAAAATCTGTGTGAGTTGTGTTTTATTGGGGTGGCTTGGGGACCTCGACACACAAAGAGTGCGTTAGATGCTTCCATCCTGTGCAGAGAAGGAGAAAGCGAGAATATGGTGAAGGGGGGCGCCAGAGAGATGCCATTTCCTGAGGTTATTATCTTCCGGGCTAATCAGAGTCGTGTTTTCTCCTTTCCTCCCTTTTGCCTGCAAGTCACCCCAGAGAGCTGCCAAGGAAGGGGCCTGTGAGTCGGCCCACACTTAAATCACTTGACAGAGAAGGATTGGTGCGCTCACTTTGCATTAAGCAGACGAAGAGCACATGGAAGGGAGAGACCAGCGCCAGAGGAACGGCTCACTGCATCCTGGTTCTGGGAGAGGGGAGGCTCTCAGCGTTGACCTCAGCCATATCCGTCCCCCAAAAACACCCACTTGCCGATTTGTCACATCGCACCTTGAACGCCAAAATATTTTGAACGCTGGAATTCGGAACACACATGAGGCTTTGTTTATGAATTTCCTTGCTTATCTATTTTTAAATTAAAATGCCGTTGTTTCTTTGGCAGGCCTTCAACAAAGCTTTTGGGGCTCGTACAGCCTGGAGAGTGAATCGTAGAACGGTAGAGTTGGAAGGGACCCTGAGGAACATCGAGTCCTGTGGTTCCCAACGTGGCGCACATGCCCCACAGGGGAGCAATTTGCTTTTTAAGGGGGGGTGATTCGAGGAATGAGCTATTAACAGTTCATAGCCTTTTAGGCTTCCTCCACGGGAATAGGAGTTCACTTTTTGAATACAGTCATACCTTGGGTTGAAGTTGCTTCAGGTTGAGCGCTTTCAGGTTCCAGTGGGTTGCGCCCATGGATCCTCAGGATTTTTACATTGGGTCACCCCAAATTCACCATCAGATCACATAGCATGTCCATGGCTACAGCCTGCACCAAAAAAATCACGCACCCACTGTTTCGTCAAGCCGCAATGGCACAAAAACGTGGTTACAAAGCACGGATCCACATGGATTCTCAGGATTTTTGTATTGGGGTACCCCAAACTCACCATCAAATCGCATGTCTGTGGCCACAGCATGAACTACAAAAATCATACATTCCCTGTTTCGTTCAGAATATTTTTTTTCTTGTTTTTCCTCCTCTAAAAACTAGGTGTGTCTTATGGTCAGGTGCATCTTATGGAGCGAAAAATACGGTAACTTTCTTTTAATGTACAATGGCATCTGCTTGATCCTTCTGGTCCCCCTTCTCTGAACCTTTCTGAACTCTACAACATCCTTTCGGAGGTGAAGCAACAGAACTGTTCTCAGTGCTCCGGTCATCAGGAGCACATCCGCCAGGAAAAAACCCCTAGAGGTTTCTCGCGAGGAGGAAGCAGCCTCTCATTGGTACCCATAGGCCTGTTCCACCTGGTTCCGAAGCATCTGTTAGAGGTCCCCTCTGTTTGGAAGAAGGATGCTTAGGCTAAGTAGATTGTGGGGTCTTACATGGCGTCATTCGCTCTGCACCCGCCTCTCCAAAGCCCCCTCTGTCCGCCTCGCCCCCCCCCCGTTCAACAGCTGTGTGTGGGTTGTCACAGCCAGCGTGTACCTGCCGGCCATTAACAACATGTCTCTTTTTCTCGCCCCCAAAGTGCTAAGCATGGAGGTTGAAGGGTCTGGTCCTGTGGGCTGGGAAACAGCCTGTTTGCTCAAAGGGGCAGCCAAGGGTTTTTGGCAGCTCCTTCCTCCTGGAAGGGAGCCTATGCGCCGCGATGCAAAGTGAGAGAAATGTGCATGTGCGCACTGGTGCGTCAGTGTGTGACCTGCGTTAGGAACCTCGCGGCTCCGTCCTGGGAATTCTGGCTGTTTCAGGTGAGCGGCTCGGGGGCAGGAAAGGAACACCCTGAGCTCCAGCAGAGGAGCTGGGTTGCTGCTGCCGGCCCCTGCCTTGCACGCCTGTCTCTTTCGAATCTGCAGCTCATCGCTAGCAAGGGACGCAACAGCTACACTACACTTCCTCTAATCCCTTCCTAGGTATTTATCTCCCAGCTCCCTGTCCCAGAGCCAGCAAGCAGTTGGCTGCTTGCCAGTCCTTGAAGAGTGTCCAGAACTTGCAGACTCCTTTTTTCCCCTCCTCCAAAGTTCCCGAGCCCTATAAATTTGTCACTGAGACTAAAAAGCTCAGCTGGGAAAGGGATTATGATAATGAAGGGCTCCTGTAACCAAGCAAAGCTGCAATGGAGCTCATGCGCTGTGCCCTGCGCTCTCCCTCTCTTCTTCCAGAGGTTGCCAGCCCAACTTGGCGACCGGAGTTTGCGGGAGATGCCATGGGAGAGCGAGGCATTGCTATGGGGGGACTGCGCCTGGCTGGGACCATAAGCATCTGACAGGGTGGGAAAGCTCCCACAAATTACCGTATTTTTTGCTCCATAGGGCGCACCGGACCATAGGGCGCACGTAGTTTTTAGGGGGTTAAATAAAGAAAACAAGTAATTTCCCCCCCCCCAGCCCCAAAGAGCAAAGAAGCCAAGACAGTGAGCGGGATAGATCACGCTCACTGTCTTGGCTTCGTTTTTAGCCATGGGGCTGGGGTGGGGGAAGCCCAAGCTTCCCCAGCCCCCAGAACAGGTCCGAGAGTGGCAGCAAGGTTGCGCGCAGCCTTGCTGCTGCTCCCGGAGCTTGCGGGGCTGGGGGCATGCTCCGAAGGCTTGCGGATAGCTGCCTGAAGCCCAGGGAGTGCAGTGGCAGTTGGCGCTGCGCACCCTGGGCTTCAGGCTGCTGCCTGAAGCCTGGAGAGCGAGAGGGGTCGGTGCGCACCGACCCCCATCGCTCTCCAGGCTTCAGCGAAAGCAACGTGAAGCCTCCGGAGCGCGGAGGGAGCACTCCCTCTGCGCTTCAGAGACTTCGCGTTGCTATCGCTGAAGCCAAGGAGCCTGCATTTGCTCCATAGGACGCACACACATTTCCCCTTCATTTTTGGAGGGGAAAAAGTGCGTCCTATAGAGCGAAAAATACGGTACCTCATTGATCACTTGGACTGGCGGAACTGGTCCTGTTACAGCATGAGTAGGCAAACTAAGGCCAGGGCGGGTTTGCCATTGGGGCCTCTGGTTTGCTGCCGTGAGAACAGGGTCCTGAACTAGAACTCCCCCCCCCCCCCGTTTCTCCTTGCCATGCATCATTTTATAAATTTATATCGTGTTGACTCTCACCTGTTCCGCACCAAGTGATCTCAGGCAGCGACGGGGGAGGCAAGCACAACACAGCTTGGCGTTTCTGGGTGGCGGTCGTGGTTTTCCTGTAGTAATAATATAATAGCAATAATTTATTATTTGTACCCCGCCCATCTGGCTGGGTTTCCCCAGCCACTTTGGGCAGCTTCCAACAAAGATTAAAAATACATTAAAATGCCACACATTAAAAACTTACCTGAACAGGGCTGCCTTCAGATGTCTTCTAAATGTCAGGTAGTTGTTGTTCTCTTTGACATCTGGTGGGAGGGCGTTCCACAGGGTGGGTGCCACTACCGAGAAGGCCCTCTGCCTGGTTCCCTGTAACTTGGCTTCTCGCAGGGAGGGAACCACCAGAAGGCCCTCGGAGCTGGACCTCAGTGTCTGGGCAGAACGATGGGGGTGGAGACGCTCCTTCAGGTATACTGGACTGAGGCCGTTTAGCCAGAAGACCCTCTGGCTTCTTCCTGCAAGAGAGTCAGGTCTTCCCAAATGCATGTTGCGCTCTCTCACTCTCTCTCTCTGAAATATACTTGGAGTCGAGTGTGGATTTCATGCTCTTTATTCAGCTCATAGTAGTGAGGAGGAATGGGAGTTCCCCCGAAACGTCTGCTTCCCCCGAAACGTCTGCTGTTCGACAGTGGAATTTGCTGCCAAGGAGTGTGGTGGAGTCTCCTTCTTTGGAGGTCTTTAAGCAGAGGCTTGACAACCATATGTCAGGAGTGCTCTGATGGTGTTTCCTGCTTGGCAGGGGGTTGGACTCGATGGCCCTTGTGGTCTCTTCCAACTCTATGATTCTATGATTCTATATACATTATTTACAGAATAATGCCCCACGTGATTGGCTAATTCCAGGATTCTCCTGTAGGCCAATCAGGTTGTGGATTCACTTCCACCTGGAGTTGGATTGGGTGGCTCCTGCAGTCCAATCAGACTGCTGCATTCTGAATCCTATTGTTCTAGGACCAATCAGACTGCTGCATTCTGGACCCTATTGTTCTAGTACCAATCAGACTGCTGCATTCTGAATCCTCTTGTTCTAGGACCAATCAGACTGCTGCAGTTTGGATCCTATTCAACTCAGTACATAACACTCTCTTTACGGGGTGGGACGAGGGCAGCCTGCAGCCTTCCTAAGCCCCGAGCCTTGAAGAACGACTCAGTTCTCACGCCCAGCACCAGCCCATGACCTGGGGGACGGAGAGAAGCTCAGCGCAGGTTGCGGAGGCTGGAAAGGGGGTCCCAAGCGCAGCAGCCTCCTGGCAGCACGTCCTTCCCAGCCCCTGCTCCCTCTTCCATTTAGCAGGTGAATAGAGGTGATTTTGGAGGGGTTTTTAATTAAACATCTGGAGTCCTTGGCAAGCCTCCTGGATGTCTAATTGCTGCACCTCTGGCCGTCCCCTGAGGCTGCGAGAGGAGTTCCTCCCAGTCTTCAAATTTAGGGGAGGGCACTGCAGCGTGTAACTCTTTCCGCCGCCTCCTGGAAAAAGTGGGGAGATCAAGGCTTTGGGAAGGAGCCACATCCGGGCAGCAGCGCGAGGAGGAGTCAGGATCATGCACTGTAGGGAATCTTGCCCCCTGGGGGTGACGGCACAAGTTGTTACCTCCTTCCCTGCCCTTTGCTGGACTGGACGCTTGGACTGCCTCCCTAGGAGGAGTCTCTCCCTAGAGTTTTTAAAGTTTCCAGTGTCCTTTAAAGGTGGCTGAGCCCCAGAACTCAGGCAGCGTATTTGGAAAGGAGTGGAGCTCTCATTTCCTGCCCTCTCAGTTCTGTGTGTCCTGTCCCTTTTGTGTTTTAAATATTCCTTGTATTTTCTCTGAATGTACTTTCATCCAGTTTCCTCTCATTAGTACGGGACAGGGGTCAGCAATTTTTTTCAGCAGGGAACCGGTTCACTGTCCCTCAGACCTTGTGGGGAGCCGGACTATTTTTGGGGGGGAAATGAATGCATTCCTATGCCCCACAAATAACCCAGAGATGCATTTTAAATTAAAGGACACATTAAAAGGTAAAGGGACCCCTGACCATTAGGTCCAGTTGTGGCGGACTCTGGGGTTGCGGCGCTCATCTCTCTTTACTGGCCGAGGGAGCCGGCGTACAGCTTCCAGGTCATGTGGCCAGCATGACTAAGCCGCTTCTGGCGACCAGAGCAGCGCACGGAAACGCCGTTTACCTTCCCGCCGGAGTGGTACCTATTTATCTACTTGCACTTCGTGCTTTTGAACTGCTAGGTTGGCAGGAGCTGGGACCAAGCAACGGGAGCTCACCCCGTCGCGGGGATTCGAACCGGCGACCTTCTGATCGGCAAGTCCTAGGCTCAATGGTTACACTCATGTAAAAATATGCTGATTCCCATACCGCCCACGGGCCAGTTTTAGAAGGCAATTGGGCCAGATCCGGCCCCCGGGCCTTAGTTTGCCTACTGGCTGTCAGCTTGGTGCAATGGCTGGATCAGTGCTGGCAGGGGCTGATGGGATTTGTAGTCCAAAACCAGGCTGGCAAACGCTGATCCAAGGCTAATGCCTGTTTTTTATCCTGCTGCCTTTATCGTTGGTCTTGTTCTGCTGATTATTTGAAAGTTACTGCTGTTCCGAGTTTATTGCTTTGCTGTTTTGTTAGCCGTGGTGGGAATATTTATCCTGAAGGGGTGATAGGCAATTTGTACAAGCAAATACATGAATATGCTACATTTTTCCAGCAATTCCCAGAAAGACACATTTTGTACAAGGAAAGCAATGGTGAATCTTCATCCCGTCCGCAGCCTCACAGTGGTTCTATGCAGAAGAATTATGAAATTCAGCACCCAACTGCTTATTTCAAAACCTGGGGGTGCTTTCAGATGTGGTCTTAACTGAGTTTTCTGCAGAAAGTCTAATTCTGGATTGAAATTTTATTGTGGGAGGGGGTTAAAGGCTGGTATTTTGATGCTGACAATGTCATGCACTGGGAAAAAGTTTGGTGTGTGTGAACAGCGCGCATCCCACAAGGAACATCTTAAGAAAACAGATTAGAATATTGTTAACGTCAGTTTGGACAAGGTGATGATTGGGATCCTTTCCAATTCTACAATTCAATGATTTTTGCTTAGATAGCCAAATAGAGGAATCTTTTACTTTTATTTATTTATTATAAATATTTAAAAATCACTGTTTTGCCTGCAATGGACCCCGAGGTGATACGCAATAATAAGAAAACTATTATACGAATCAAAAATGCCCATTAAAAACAAAACAGAACCATTATGAAAACACTAGAATACTTTAGCGTTTAATGTTCATAATTAGGCCTGCAACCTCTAATCGACTGGGGTAATCTATTTGAAACCTTTTTTAAAAGGACCAAATAGAGCTCATGCCCGGCTAGTTTTGAAGCATTTTTCTTACTGAAAAAAGATAATTGTTTTAATAAAAGTAGTTGTAGGAGCTTTAGGTATGGTTGTTCTGGCAGAGGCTGAGGGGAGTCCACCTGGTTGGGACGGCTGAGATTTCTCCAAAGGGAAAAGTACTTCTTCATGTGGTGTCTAGTTAAACTATGGAACTCCCTGCCACAGGAGGCAGTGATAAACACCAATTTGGATGGCTTTAAAACAAGATTAGACAGATTCATGGAGGAGGAGAGGGGTATCAGTCGCTGCTAGCCAGGGCTATCCTCTGGTTACCAGTTGCTGGAAACCACAGACAGAGAAAGGGCTCTCAAACTCAAATCCTGCTTGCGGGTTTCCAACAGGCATCTGATAGGCCACTGTGAGAACAGGATCCTGTGCTAAATGGGCCATTGGCCTAATCCAACAGGCTCTTCTTACCTGCCCTGTCCCTACCAAGAGTCCTCACAGGTGTGAGGCTGGGGAACTGTGCCTCCACATTTGATAACGTGACTTCTTGGTCCCTCTCCATTGATAAAAACTGAACCCTGGCAGAAACGTGACTGGACTGCTTTGGCCTTTGTTTTTGTTGAGTTGTTGAATCGTGACCCCCTGGACCAGAGCACGCCAGGCACGCCTGTCTTCCACTGCCTCCCTCATGCTGGTAGCTTCAAGAACACTGTCCAGCCATCTCGTCCTCTGTCGCCCCCTTCTCCTTGTGCAGTGGCGTAGCGTGGGGGGTGCAGGGGGGGCTGGCCGCACCGGGTGCAACATCTGGGGGTTAGGGTTAGGGGGCGCAAATCCATGGGTTAGGGGGCACAAATCCACGGGTTAGGGGGCGCAAATTACTTGCCTTGCCCCGGGTGCTGACAACCCACGCTACGCCACTGTCCTTGTTCCCTCCATCTTTCCCAACCTCTTTTTTTTTAAATGATATTTATTAAGGTTTCAAAAAATACAAAAAGTACAGAATACAGAGAGAAAAAGAATAAAGTTTTTTTTTTTAATATAACCAAGAAAATAAAAAATAAAAATAATAATAATAAAAAAGATACCAAATAAAACAGTTAAAAAAGACATTAATTTTCCATAACCTATCTTCCCTATACTTATTTCCCCGGACCTCCTCATACCTCCCTTTTTTGTATTCCAGTTCAGTTTGTTAGTTCAGCAAATCCTTACCATTAAGCTTTTACCCAGTT